GCATGAATCATTTTATGTTATGAATATTTTTTAAAAATTATTCTCACTTAGATAAAATTATATCAATTTTTAATATCATAAATGAATATATAGTAGCTTTTGATTAAACAAGTTATAATAATATATCAGCAAATAATGACTGGTCTCTCTGAAATCCATATAGAAAGGTTCAAATTTAACTTCCACTACCACTACTTGATCTGGCAGTTGCATCCGATTGTTTGATTGGATAAATGAAACTTATCTGGTTAGAACTTTAATGATAGCAATAGCAGCAGTGGAAGTAAAATCTGATCTCTCTATTATTTTTTGAAGATTTGCTCTAGTAACATCAATTCAGGGTTGCCCATGCAATTTGGTTAGCACAGCTAGCTCTTCAAGTTGGCGGTCCAATTCTTAGGATTCTGCAAATTAATTCTAGAAAACTGGCTTTGGTTTGGGCTAAGCAAAAATCATCGCACTGTTTATCATGCTGATTTAGTTGTTTAACAGTTAAAGTCCAGGCTGCATGTTTTTTGTCCTGCATATGGCAGATGGGACAGTCTGGTTTCCAAGTGTTTATGTGGGGAATTAATATTAATCAGGACTGGCTTCTGAGTGAAGGTCTTGCCTGCTTTATGCGAGAACAGGCTCTATACGAGATTCCAATTGCTACACAGCATGATCTCAGGGCTCGTCCTCTGAAACAATGCTTGGTTGCAATATCATCCAGCAAGTGCAAAAATGTACTACCACGGTCAAGGATCATTTGGCATGTTCATCGACTATGTTAACCCATTGAGTGGCACCATGCACTCTCCACCTGATGAGTAAAATTGTCTGGTGTTAGACAGAGTAAACTAACAAAGTAGGGTGCATCTGGGTGCATTGGGCCATTCCATTCAATGTACACACCCCTATGGACGATGTACACACACCCCTAAGAAAAAAATCAAAGTGCCGACACCAACATACACACCCCAGAAATTAAGAAATTTTTGCCTTATCCCTCATAAAAAAATGCAAAGATCAAAGGAGGCGCCGATGCACACAACCCCTCAGAAACGGCTTTTTCAACCCCCTCAGAAATTCTAGTCCATGGGGGGTATGCCACTTAAAGGGTTAAAAACGTAAATACCACAGCACAACACTTGTACATATACATATACATATACAAGTAATACAACAGCAATCCTTTTATATATTTAATAGTCATATTTACATATTGGTGAAATATCAATGTCCATATATTTAATAGGGATGTCCATGAACTTGCCCCTAGTTTGAAGCTAATGTATTCATATCTTTTGTATAAGTTGTCCCTCTACAAACCAACTTTTGGTCATTATACAAGATTTGAATTTGCATTCATTTGCTTCGCAAGTCGCAACAAACTGAACAAAGTACTAAACCATAAACCTGTGCAATGATCGAGCGTCTTTAGCGACATATCCAAGTCTTTTAAACGTCTCATACGAACAAATCTCACTGAGTTTTTTCTACAGAAAGTATTGATCCACTTGATCGATCGCCGTACTTTGAGAAAAGCTTGAAATGCAAAATTCACAGGGAAGATTGAACAATTTCGGAGATAAAAACTGTTTGTCTTCGAGTTTCACCTATTCACCCCCCGGTTGAGAAAAGTAACAATTACGTAATGTTGGAGTCACGTGACCAGCGTTTACCAGGGCTACGTCGCCGCCTTCAATTCGCGACTAGCCCTGGGTACGAGGTTGGCAAGTCTCACTATAGATTCATCATCAGTCAACAACCAAACTGAAAGTATTGAACCTTATAGAACGATAGTTTTTATTTGTTTACAACTATACATATTCAACGGGTATATAAGAGTTTAACTGTTATTTGATAATTACTGCATTAACCGGCCCCTTGTTTATACTTTGGAGGTTCGTATATAATATCTATCAAGTATCTTTGGTTCAGAACATGACTGATAAGCCTACATGGAAATCCCACTGTTCGATTCAGTGAAGAAATATCTCCTAATTTCTATCGATAGTTTTAGTAAAATGTCAACATTATTGCAGTTTATGGCCTTTGAAAGTCAAGCGAGATAGTATATTATCAAATTAATACGCATGTAATTGTCTGAACGAAAATATAGACTAGCCCATACTTTTCGCCGATCATAACTTCGGCCCCTTCGGACGTATCTTCTTTGTTAAATATTCTTGTTCGAATCTCTATCAATAACACTATTTAGAGTGTTATTTTTCAGCTTGTATCTTTTAATTTGCTTCTTTTATTATGTTATTCCATTTCTGGTCTGACGTGACGTGAACTAATTTCAAAACGCAGAGTTTCAAAACGTCAAAACATTTGGTTAATGATTAACATTTAACCGAATTTAGCCGTTGATTGACAACTACATAAAAATACTAACAAATCCGTTTTTCCCGTTCACCAGCGGACGGGTAATTCAAAAACCCCTAGTTTTGCGGCAGACGGTATTTCCTTTGCTTCCCTAATTTTCGCTGCCCGTAGAAATACCGCCTGCCATGCAGGCTAAGAAATGACCAAATCCTGCATTCTGAAAGTCTGTTTAACTGGCGTCTGACAATCACATGCTTGCAGGAAAGAAATATTTTCGTCTTGGCTAATGAAAGGCGGCGTATGCCTGACAAACCTCTAGAGGATAGAGGAGTTCCAGGGTATATATAGGCACTCTGAAAGGGCATTTCCTGCAATTTGCGGGGACAAGTTATCACAGCAAATTTTATCACTGCACATTTTACTTTTATCGCTGCACAAATTGGTTATCACTGCATACTAAAACTAGAGGGCACTCAGAGACTGCATACCTCCGCCCGTTACTCGGAAGTGAAACGCAACCTTGGAATTTCCTAAGAAAACCACTTTGCAATTCTTAAGCATAAAAGATTTTAGGCCCCCGCGAATTGAAATCGAATTGCTATTTTCACAGTTGTGCTATTTTAAATTCCCAGGCAGCTAAAATCTTTTGTCTTTAAAACAATGTCGATTTCTTGGGAAATTCCGAGGTTGCGTTTTTTTTATACACCCTGTATTGAAGTAATCTAATGTTGTTAGAATTTGAATGGCTGGCACTTTGCTGAACGTAATAATGCGTAACTCCGTAAGCCTTGTTTTAGACATTGAATTTCGGTCGCGTGAAATGCAACTAAGAAAATAGATAATGAAGGCCGAAGCTTAATGAGGTTTATCATCTCATTATTGTCTTAGTACTGCGTGCATAAATTATACACGTCCTAATTACGCATTTAGTAATATTTTTTTTAATTGACCGGGAAAAGCAAGACAAAATTTTGTTCATTTCTCGTTCAATTTTTAACCAAATTCAACCAAATTTTAATCAGTTCTTCCTTAGCCGATGGGAAATGCACTCACAAAATTTCGTACGGATATGTTTCGTATTTCTTGAGTTATCGTGCTCACAGACAAACACACACACACACACATACACACACACATACACACACATACAAACCCAGATGATTACACCTCGGCGGAGATGGTGAGGCATGGAAGGCAGTGACCACAAAAATTTGCCAGTGGCAAAATTGCCGTCGACGTTTCATCTTCGACGGCATTATCGGCTGGCAATTGTCCCAGTCGCTATGTGAATTCGGGGGAGTAGAGCTGTGCAAACTCCGGTTATTTTAGCTCCGGCTCCGGCAGTCGGAACTCCGGCTCCGGCAAAGAATTTTTAAGGAAATTTCATATTTAAAAGTGGAAGCAGGTGACAGTATTTCAGTGTAATTTCAGAATTTATCTTTTTTAAACACCTTTTTACAACACTATTATAATAGTAAACAACATAGTAATATATAGTAAAACAACATATAAATAGTAATATATTAGTAAATTAACAACAACTTAATTTTTCCATTTAATACCAAATGTTCATTGAAATATGAAATAATTTTTCATAATTTTGTCTGCCGGAGTTTTCCAACTCCGGCAAAATATGCCGGAGCTCGGACTCCAGCGCACAGCTCTGGGGGGGGGGGGGGACATCGGATGAGTTGATTTCTATAATTTTACTATAATTAGGTGATATCTCAAAGCGTCCAGGCGTTTTGCGCTACGAGCAAGCCACTTATACTCGATGGATTAAGGGGGTCCTAAGAAACCACGAAAAAGCAGTTTTCCTGGTTTACCTAGAAATAACCCTAGAAATAACTTAATATTCCTCATTGTTAAATTTCCTGGTTATTTTACCCTTTTCTCACTATAGTCTAGTTAATTTGACCAGGACGTCCTGGTTAGTTCTAGGTACCCCTAACGTAACGGACGGCATTGAGAAAAAAATGGCGGAAAACATTTTGTTTTGCAAATGTTTCGAAGGGATTTAGTAGAGAATTCTTTCCCCAAAGAGACAAAAGGACTACAAAATACGGTGTGAAGACTTTTAGTAAGAAGCAAAATTTAAACCGTATATTTTAACAGTAAATCTGCTTTTAATTGCCACAGAATGTGATACGAAAACAGATGGATTGCTAAGGTACTTTCTTGTGCATATTACAAGTAAATCCGTTGAAATTGCACCTGCTTGTATTACTTAACCATATTTTTCCAGTCTCTCGACATTTTGTTGCCTGAAATGTGATTTTATGTTGTAACAGTAATATCCCTTCTCTCTCCTTTAAATGTACTTTTTTGTATGTTTACAGATCAGTTTTCCGCCTAAAAACAAGTTTCCTTAATAGCTTCCGAATTTGTCGATAAAATTTAAATGTTAGATTTTGTATATGCATTTTAGGTGATAGTAATGTTTTTCACAGTTATTTTTCTAGGTATTTCTTCAATTTTAGTGACAATATAGGATTGTTTTGCGTGATGAACTTTATACGATCGGGCAGGCTACGCCTTCGTTGACTAGTATTCGCTCATAGACAACTCGGCTTCGTTGTCTAATTGTTAAAGTTTCTGCAAGCTTTTTAATGATGTTGATGTAGCTTATAATTATTTGGTATAGGTGAACTTGATATCTAAATTTACATTTTTTACTGCTAATATAGGTGATAATTTCTATACGCTTGGCGTAGAAAATGTTGATGATAAACGGTTTAAAGAAACATTTGAAGATGTCTTCACGGCTCCTTCACTCTACATTCCATGGTATTTCTGTGCCGGCAATCATGATCATTATGGGAATGCTTCCGCAGAAATAGCATACAGCAAAAAGTCCAGTCGATGGAATTTCCCCGATTTTAACTACACGAAAATCTGGACAATTCCAGGTAATCAACTTTTCTCATATTTTCCTCCGTGAGGAGCTTATGTTTCCATTTGTCTACGATTTTGCATCTTCCCGGATTTGTTCACGTTCATGCAAAGTTCACCAAATGAATATGCATCAGTTATATCAGTCGGGCTTGTTCGAAAGGGTTTCTCATATTTTTGTGTCGTTTTGTGAATCTCCAAAACAGTCTTAAGGCCCGTTTACACTACGCTCAATTTTTGGTACGGCACGGATAAAATTGGTACCCGTACCACTTTTTGGTTCTTGGACTACCTAAATAGGTAGTCCAAGAACCAAAAAAGTGGTACGGTACCAAAAATGAGCGTAGTGTAAACGGGGCTTAGCTAAATAGGTAGTCGAAGAACCAAAAAAGTGGTAAGGGTACCAATTTTATCCGTGCCGTACCAAAAATTGAGCGTAGTGTAAACGGGGCTTTATTAATTTTTGTAATTTTAACAGGATTCGGCAGAGATTACGGATTTCTAGTTCTTCAAATATTTGAAAATAATGGTGTACAAAGCACACGACAATTTTGGAGTGAAATACATTCAGCCTTCTGCCAATGTTTTATGGCTTTCACTCTTTCTATATTCTCTAGCTTTTTATGTTACACTTACTTTCTATATCGCCGTTTCTATGTATAGGTACATCTAGTAAAGTACAGGTGGTGATGATTGATACAGTTGTATTGTGTGGAATTACCCATTATGGTAGCAACGACGAACAGCCAAGAGGTAAAATAAATAAATGTACGCGCTTTTTACTCAAAGACCTTGCCTGGAAACCATGGATTTTTGTTCCATTTCATGCTTGGTCTCCAAATTACAACCAAGCACAATTGTGCTACTTCATACTGTACATATATACATGTATACTCATTTTCAAATGCGCCGGATTGTAAAAACAACATTGAGTTGCGAGGGCAGGGGGGGGGGAGGGAAGAGATATATTAAATGTGTGCAATGAGTTGCAATAAGTAGGCAGACGATCTAAAACCGCATGGTGTGCCAATCAATTGTTGAAAGTGATTGTAGGCGATATATGTCAAACATCGAAAAGAACATTTCCACGGTTTCGTTCATAACGAAATACCTTACTTGCAATTTTAAAAGTGCATTGGAAAATATAGTCAAGACTAAAGACTGTGTAGCGTTCTTATAGCGTTCTAACAAAATTTCTTATTTCTCTCATTTTATTACAGCCTGTCTCAGAAGACTTAAATGAGCATTTTAAATTTCCTATAGGAAGTGATAACCCAGAGAAAGCAGAACAGCAGTGGGCTTGGATTGAAGAAACGCTTGCTAAATCTACGTCAGATTATTTGCTAGTTGCTGGACATTATCCGGTTTGGTCAATAGCGGAGCATGGGCCTACCGAATGTTTAGTTAAAACATTAAAACCACTGCTTGAAAAATATCACGTGACAGCATATCTCTCTGGTCATGATCACAATCTTCAGGTATCATTACCTCATCGTACAAGCCGATGCACATGATGGAATTTGTGGAGGGTTTTGTTGAAAAAGACACACTTATATTTAAATATCGTAAAATTATTAATAAACTTCAGACTGGCGTATATGGAATAAGAAGTATTGTTTTGCTATAGTAACATTTCGTATCCGGAAATGAGGAATGAGTCTGATTTCAAGAATGAGTACAATCCGCGGGGAAGCTAGTAGCCATGCCTAAGTGTCATTGAAGAATGGCGCATAATCTTACAACACGTCACTGCTCTTAGAAAGCTTAAAAATGCACTCAGAATTTGGAAGGGAATAACATCGTATTTGGTCCCAAAAGGCCAAATTGGAGAAGTACGTATTTGAAAGTAATTGATCGAAAATCAGGAAAACTAGCAGGTGATCTTAGTGGAGTATAATTCTGCACTAGGAGAAACTAGTAGGTTATTGTATGGAGTATAACTCTGCACTTTAGAAATACATTAGTAAGACGCAATTTATGGTGATTCCAGGCGATTGCTCGAGGAGAGGGTACTAATTCCGCACGACTATTGAGAGCTTGATAGTTCACCGCGAGCCTGCGTTAAGTGTTGGCGTAATTTAGCTTCATGTTGAAATTTGAGAAAGGGAACAAAGGTGAAGGGTTGTTAGTCTAGTATATATTCAACCCATATACACTGACCTTTCGGTGTAAAAAAAGGTCAGGTTATGAAAGAAATATAAAATGAATTAATTCGTACTTTAGAGAAAAAAGACTTTTAGTGAAGCCAGGTGCCAATCTACAGTTTACTTGGAGGCAGCAACGTAATTGCAAAAGGCCATACTGGCGTTAACTGTAAGCTCGACTGTAAGGACTTGATCACTTGAAATCTATAGTCCATGAATCCAACTTGGAAGATTTGACCGAATGACGTCTCGTATTCAAAATTATATAAATCGATCATTACCAAAGAGTTGTGACTTAGGCCTGTTTCAGACGGTGTACTTTTCATGTGCCGACTTAATTGGCGATTTAGGACAATTAAGTAGGATAGAAGAGCGTCATATGAACAATTAATAAGTACAGGAGTCGGCAGAATTTGGAGCGGGAAAATTTCGACACAAGTTCGACAGAGCCTGTTGCAACGTATGGGCGACATTGATTCATACGCCTCTCCACTCATGTGCCAAACCTAACATAATTTTTTTGTATTTGTTCGGATTAGATTAGCCATCTTGTAATTTAAAAATGTACTTATTTGTTTTCAATTCTATATAGGATTCTCGCATGAATGCGCCCCAACCTTATCAATAATGTCGTATTTGCCGTTCTTGTATCGCACATGAAAAGTACGCTGTCTGAAATAAGCCTTATGATTCAAGTCGACGTGCGTTAAGGGACTGGTCATTATTTATGGCAGCAAAAGTTTTGTTGACTCAACCATTAAAAAGTCACAAATTTGGTTACCTAATTACCTCTAATATCAATTAAAAAATATATACCCATTCAGTTGTCACACATATCCTTTACCACTTCTGTGACACGAGTTTGATTACGGCTTGTGAAATTTTCTGCAGTCTAAAGTTTCATGTTGTCTGCACATGTACTTTCTTTGGAGACACTATTTGTCTCCAAACAAATCGGAAAATGATCAAGATATATAGTGACTCTAATTGATTCACATATTGTATTGACATATGACTGTTGACATTTCATGCTTTTCAGTCTTCAATATTTGAGTGAGTCATGCTTTGGAAATGACAATAAATTTTCATTACTCAACCTTTGAGTTGTTTTGTTTTTTATTTACCCAACAGGGCCGTCGGGGGGGGGGGTGGGTGGGTGGCTGCAGCCCCTGCTTAACCTTTTACTTACTCAAGGGGGGGGGGGTGGCTGCAGCCCCTGCTCAACCTTTTACTTACTCAAAATTTTGTTTACCCAACCCTTTTCTCTTCGGTACCACCCCCCGCCATAAATAATAACCGCTCCCTTAAATAAAACTTGCATCCTTATCAACCGAAGCTTTCTTATTATTGGCACTGCCTACGCTGGCAAACCGTTCAAGATTATAATTGCAACAAAGTTTGGCTCGGTAACATAACCTGATTGTTTTCTTCTTCTTCAATCTAGCATTTAGATGAAGGATCTGGAGTTCAGTATATTGTGACAGGCTGTTCAAATTATGTGAATAATTCCACTGTCCATTCAGGGGATGTACCGAACAAATCTTCCAAGTTTTTTTGGGCCGAATATTCTAAACTGGGAGGTTTTGCCACTCTGCAGGCGACACAGGTTGTCATGGATATGACGTTTGTGGACTCCACAGGCAAACCATTGTACAGTATCGCGCTGAAACCAAGAGATCGTGAGGTTTTTGCTGAGGAAAAAACTATTTGAAATTTCTATTTGAACAATATATTTATATACATATTAATATAATATGAATGATACAAGTAAGTGTGCAGTTATATACTTATATATTAGATACAATGTGTCTGATTTTTACAATTTAAGAATTTTACGAATTTTCGAATTAAATGGTTGTATTTGTAATTGCAAATTAATAATGCATTCTATGTATTAGATATAACGATATTAGAAACTCACTTCTTACCAGGGATATTTAGACTTCGACCTGCGTTAGTATCTAATTATTACATCATTCACATCCTTCACGTAGTAGTATTCATGTCATGTGACCACAGACACCAGGGACAGGGATTTCGTGACTTACAGATGTTTGAGAAATTTTCGAAAATATCCTGTATGTCAGTCCCAGCCAGATGAAGTAAGATTGCGCGTTTTTGCTTTTTCTCAGTAATCCCTGAAACACGAATGTTTCTTCCATTTGTCCCACCGTTGTGCGATAGAGCTTGTCTCCGCGATAGAAAAAGGTTGGATGGCCGGTAGATCGACGACGTTTGCCTTGTTACGGTTTCGTTTTCGATTTACCTTCGTCGTCAGTTATAGTATAGTGCATTTAACTCTATTTTACAGCAACACTTCCATCGCTATATGCAGCCTTTCTCAAACTCCTCCAAGTCCCGAAACCCTGTCCCTCGTGTTCGTGGTCACATGACCATTTTGGTCACATCACACGAATACTACTATTCACATATTTCATCATTTTCGGTCGGTGTGACGATTCACGTCGTCGTCGACGTGGGCACTGCCAGCCCAGATTAACCGAGACAATAGAATACAAGTAATCATATTCATTTTATAATTGAAAGAAGAAAAATGTAAATAATTAAGTGCAAAACGGAATGCAACTAAGTAAAACAGTTAGACATATAGTTTAATTGGTATACGTGATGTCCCATCTTCGGTTAGCCGCCACTGCAACTCTTCGCCCGGCCTTCTGCCAACAATCCACGTTTAAGGCCATGTTACACGGTGCAATTTTTCTTGCAACTTGCAATGCAATCTTGATCGGATTCGTTCGGATTTCTGAGCATAGTATTTTAGCTTTT